AAGCACTTCTCTTAATGTAATTATTGTTCTCAGCTCTACAGAAGAAAAGAAGCCTCAGAGAAACGCCTTTCCCCAGGAGGAGGAGGAGGGCTGGAGCCCTGCTGCAGGGACAACGCTCAGGCACAAACTTGTTTTCTCCTCTGCTGAGTGTTGCAATTGAGATCAGTGAATCAATTCCTGAGTGACTGAACAGTTTGTCTAGGAAAACAGCAAGAGAGAGAACACAAAGCAAGCAGAGTCAGCGCGGCACAAAGACAGACGAAAGTAGCTCTCTGCGTGAGGGTGGATGAGAAAAACAGAAAACAGGCTTTTGTTCTCCCTGCCTTGGAGTTCGACTGAAATGGAATCTCAGCCTGTGCCCAAATCTCCATTTTGAAGGCGGCTCAAGGTGCAGCAGCCTCCACGCAGCGCACCTCACTCCTTCCTGCCTCTCCGCACCCATCTGTGGTGGTGGAAGGGATTGCTCAGTCCTTCCCTTGGCAGCCTTTCCCCTCCCGGCTCCATCCTTGCGCAGATCTCCGAAAAGCTTTTTTTTTTATCTCTTGCTCACAAGCTGGCTCAGCGCCAGCTCCTCAAAATCGTTGTGCTGCTTTCAGTGTTCTGTCACACAATGGCACGCCGTCCTTACGCTGCTCAGAGCAATTCAGTGCTTCTGTGGGCATCGCACACCTCTCATTACTGCCTTTAGACGTGGCTGTGCAGTACCCTCTGCTGAGGGAGCTGCTCGTGTGGGGAGTTTCACTGTATTAGCAATGCTTTCCAGCTTATGGCATCCCTGCGGATCTGCCTTGCCTACTGCAGAGAGCTAATAATGACCAAGCATCCCAAAATGAATTGCTATGGCTTGATTTCAACGTTAATCGTTCTTTCTTACTGGAGTCTCTTGCAGGCATAAAAGAATCTCAGCAGTCCCTGATGCTGGCATTGCAAACCTTCAGCTGTGCACTGGGAGTAGAGTTCATACCTGACAGTGAGCAAGAAAGGGGGGGAGAAAACAGTTCTGAAGGATAGGCTTTTTTAATAAAGCATTTCCTTAACTTACAGCAGAAGTTAAGTTGTTTGAATGAATGTAATTAATATAGATAATAAATGAGCCCAGAGCACTGTGGGCATTGCTTACCCATCATCTGGAACTGCCAGCCTTAAAAACCATGAGAAGTTCTGCTGCTTCTTTTATGCCACCAAAAACCCATAAAGCAAATATTTTGTGTGAGGCTATTTAGGGATCTCTGTGGGCTGCTTTCAGGAGATTTCAAGCCAACTGCTATATGTCTTGATGTTTCTGATTTACTGGCTGGGACAAAAGCAATGTACAGAAACCCACGATTCATTTGAGGCTGAGTCTGCCACCCCCTCAGGTGAGGAGGGCAATGGCCTCGTGGCTGCAAGTATTCACACCACACAAATCCTGGAAGTAAACTGGGAGATAAAGCACTGCATCGCAGCAAAGGAATGTCTGTGGCACTTCAGAACTGAAGGAGGCAGCATCTCAGGTCCTGCTCCTTCCCACCAGGAAGGTGAAGTGCTACGGGGGAAGCAAAGGAGGAAGGAAGGGGGGATGTGTGGGGCAGCTGCAGTTGGATGTGGCTCTGCTGCTTTGCAGGAAGGCGAGCTTTGGCTGTGCTGGCTGCCAATGGCATTTCTACCTCCAGGAGAGCTGACTTTCCCTGAAATGAAGTCAGAAGAAGCAGAATGACAGCGCTCACCATTTTTCAGTTTCACTGTTGATATTATCATGTAAACGAAGAGCATGCACTGTGAGGGGGAAACAGCTCCTCCTTTGTTCTCTGGAGAAATGCAGTAACCTTCAATGGATAAACAAGTGAGCGAAAGTCTGGGGAGTGGTGGGGGCGAAGGCTGTTTGCAGATAAAAGGCAGCAAGGTTCAGCTGTAACACCAGGATCTCAGCCATGCAGATGCATCTATTCACATGTCTCAGAGTTTGTGGTTATAAAACATTGTTTATTCCACACAGATGGTGGCATGACCTGCCCCAAACAACCCATTTTTCAGGTGGTGCCCATAAACTTGGTGGGTTCTGCCAGAAGCAACGCAGATCTGCACTGTCATTCCAGCAGAGCGATGCAAACCAGGCAGAGGTGCAGTGTGGGAATGCTGCCCTTCAGTGCAAAGAAGCAGGAAAATCTGGGGTCTGTTTCCAGCCATCCCAGCCACACTGCTGGGATCAGTCAGGAAATGGACCACAACTCCCACTGACCCTTCTTCAGGCTCAGGAAGATGACAGCACTTCTGTAGGAAAGCCTTCTAAGTCCCATACGAATGAGGTTCTTGGTGGTTGTGCTGCTATAAACTACCCCAAACCATTTGATTTGCAAAGCTACCCAGGGGGAAGCACTGCATGAAACAGTTACCAACAAGCTGCTTCCTCTGGCCTGCATTACAGAATGTGAGAGGGTTGTGTTTATCTGCACCACCTGGATTGAAGGACCAAGGATTCTCACAGCACAGCTGAAAGCCAGAGCCAAGCATCAGCACTGCTGCAGTGCCTTGGAATCTCCTTCGTGTGGTGGAATTTCCTTTATGCCGTGGATCTTTGCATCTGACCTGAGGCTCAGGGATCCCAGCAGCTGTTGGGGATCAGCCTGTGTGAGCCTCCTGCAATGTCCTGTGCTGCATGGTCAGGGAAAAGGGCTCTTAATGAATGGCACTCAATGCACCTGGCATAATGGGATTGAAGCAAGTGTCAAGCAAGAACGTTGTGTTGTCTTAAATCAGGACTGCAAAGATTGCTTGTAATAGAAAAGAAAAAAGGAGTAGTTATTAAACATCAATGTCTGTTCATCTTTGCTTCTTTGTGACATACAGAGAAGGCTTAAAAATTAATCTCTGTCTCTATACAAGCAGTTCTACATGCATCTGAAAACCAGAAAATCCAGATTTGGGTTCAGGGAGAACTGCAGAACCTTCAGGATCAGCAACAGGACTGCTGTGTGAGCCCTGTTCTGGATGAACATCTCTGGCAGGCCTAAGAGAGCAGCGCAGCTTTGCTGCCCTTGGCAGCTCCAGCACAAGGCAGCACAAACCAAGAGCTGTTTGTGACTGCAAGATGCTTTTTTTATCTTCTCTTTTTTGTTATTTTTGGAGTCGAGAGAAAATAAATCAATGGATGGTGGTCAGCAACACCCTTTGTAGAGGAATACAGTGCTTTTGCAACCTGTCTTCAGGCAGCACAAATGCACGGACTATCAGAACTCATTCAGCTGTGGGTACTTCACTCAGGAAAGCTCTTCTTAACTGCACTGGATTGACCATATTTCAAAAAGCAGACAACTTGAATAACAGCTCCTCAGAAAATGCCTTGAAATTGCTTCAATGGCAAATACAACCTGCTTCCTGATCTCCAGTCCTCTGAGCACGAGCACTTGATGACCTTTGCCTCCTCCATTCATTAATCTGTGCTTAATTTTCATATCCTGTTTTACTCCTCCAGGACAGCACAGCCACCTCCTGGGATGAACAGTGCAATGCAGAGCTCCTGCAGTGTGATTCAGGTGGGTCCTCAGGAGAGCTGGGATGAGTTGGGAACATGCTGGGGTGTAACACACCATCTTGCACTGCTGTAATGCAGCAACCCCGTGCCTGCCAGCACAGTGCAGGCTTATTTATTTATACTGTGGTGGGAGCAAGAGACCTTTGGAAAGATCAACAAATAGCTGGCAAGGGAGAAGATGGAAGTCAATATGGAGTGCAGATCATAGAGTGTTATAACGAAGTATAAGTTCTGCTTTAATTTGGTTGCTTGAGGTCTTTGAATGTGCTTTAGGGCACTCCAAGGGCTGTGCTTTCATGGATGATGAATATAAAGGAACTGACATAGTGGCTGTCTCCCCTTTGCTTTCTCTTATCAAGAGGTTGAAACGTGGCAAACCTTTTTAAAAGGCAAAACAAGGTTGTTCATTATTTCCTAATAACTAGAGCATTACATCATCACAACTAGGTAATGACTCTACTTGAGGCCTTTCTTTGTGCAGGATGCTGGAGCTCAAGCTGTGGTGGTGTGGGACCACCTGAGTTGATAACGAGTCCTGCAGACAGAACCACCCCAGGTAAGCTCTGCAGGGTCTGTTCCTTGGGAGGTGGCTGCATGCCTTCACCTCCCACTTCCTCCCGTGCTGCAGAGCATGCCTTCCTCTTCCTCCCAGGCTGTCACTCTGGCTATTTGTTCCTCCTCACATCTGAGCAGCACCAGTTAGGGCTGAAGTTGGTAAAGAATGCTTAGAAAAGAGGTCTGAGTGTGTGTCCAAAGGCACTGAAAGGATTCCTGCTGTGCTCACAGGAACCGCTGCTTTTTTGTTCAGACAGCAGCTTTTCACTGACCCCCATGCGTAGCAAGTTGTCAGCAGAGCTGACCTGCCTGGGGACCTCAGTGTGCTTTTGCACTCTTTGCCCAGGCTCACGTTCCATTTGGAGGCACAGACTGCTCCAATAAAGGATGGGGAGGGAAAAACGAGGACATCGGGGCTAAACTGATGTAAAGAGGGGGAAAGCTGAGGCGTGCCGCACGACGGGGACGCAGGTCGGGTGTGGAGACCAGCTGTGTGATAGCGAGCCGGTGGCTCTGAGCAGCTCCTCTCGGTAGGAACGCTGCAGCAGAGGGCACCACAAAGCAAGCAAATCTCCGCTCGGAGCTAACAGCTGGCGGAGCGCCGCAGAGGTGCCGGAAGGGAGCACTCCCCAACTTCAGCTCGCTGTAAGCAGCGGGCAGCGAAACAAGCCCAGAGATCACGCAACCCGCCGTCGCTGCGGTTCGCGTCCGCTGTCGTTGCGGCGCAGGGGCCCGACGGCACGCGGACCATCGCTGCGGTAACAGCCGAGCTCTCGTAGCTCCGGGCGGCGCCCCCAGCGGAGCGGAGCGGAACGGCACGCACCGCCCGGACCTCCCGCAGGCGGCAGCGCGGGGCACCCCCGGCCCTGAGCGCAGCGGCCGCCCCCGCGAGGCGACCGTGACGGCACGGCGGCCGCTCCCGCCCCTCCCCGCCCCTCGACCGGTGCCGGCGGAGGGGAGTTTCCAGGAAGTGGCCATATTGGATCCATTCAGCCGCAGCCACTCGGGGCGGGCAGAGCCCCGCGCCGCGCTCAGCTCCGGCCATGGCCGCCACCGACCTGGAGCGCTTCTCGGTGAGGAGCGGGGCGGGTTGGGGGCTGCGGGCGGCTCCTGGCGCCGGCGGGGCGAGGAGCGCTGCCCGGCGTTGTGTAACGGCGGTGGGACGCGGGCTGCCCGCATCGGCACGGCGGGCTGTGCGGGGCTGTGCTTGCTGCGGGAGGGCTGTGCGAGCTCCGCAGCCCGGTGGCGCCTCTTGAGGGCTTGTAGCTATAAAAACCTCTTTCCAGCACGAAATAGCGGAGCTCCGAAGCGAGGACTGCTGAGCGTGATGCTGCTAAATCAGCGGGAGCGGCGGCGGTTCCCGGATCGCCGGCGTGCTGCCCGGGCTCGGCCCTGCCGCCCTTCCCTCTGTGGCTGCTGCTTGCCAGCAGCCTCCAACTGCTGCGTTCCTCCCGGCCCCGAAGTTTCCATCTCGGAATTGAATTTGCAGGAGCGGAGCTGACCCGAAACTCGCGCCGCGTACAGCGCGCTGTGGGCTCCTTTCTTAGCGGGGAATGCTGCTGAGCTCCGGGCGGGCGGTTGGTGCGGAGCCCCGGAGGCAAAGCGCGGAGCAGCGAAGCGGGGCTGCGTTGGTTCGGTGTATAAATACCCGTAAGGCCGCCTCGCTGTGCCAGCCTCGCTGTGCCAGCTGGTGCTGCTCGGCTTTTCTTAGGTGTTACAGAGCCCTAAATGCTGCCGAGCCTGGGTGCGAGCCAATTTAATTTAGGTGTCTTCGGTGCGGGTACTTCGGTGCTCGGTGTGCTTACATCCATGTGCTGTCGCTTTTTTTTTTGTCTTAAATAAAAGTTCCTAAGTGCTTTTGGCTCCCACTGGAGCAGAGTGAGATGGCTGAACTGCAGCGTGAATTCAGCGCCCAACTCCATTAGTGGGAAATCTTCTGATGGTGTACGGGGGCAGAGATGGGCTGGGGGGGTCCTGCAGCCCGTGGGTTCCTCGGCTGCTCTTTGCCTTTGGGCTCGTTGGTCCGGGGCTGTGGTACAGCGTGCTGGCTGAGCAGCATCTCCTCTCAGTCTGATGCAGGGCTGAGTGCTGCCCTGCTCGCTCTGCTCCCTCCATCCTCAGTGCCCGCTCTGCCTCTGCTGCTGCTCCCCCAGCAGAACCGTGGGCACCTCCCGGTGGAGATGTTCCACTCGTTTGTTCAGTGGTCCTCAGAGCTTTCTGGGTGTCACTCTGTGGTGCCGTGCCTCAGTTTCCTGAGTGTAATTTTGAATGGGAATGGTTTGCTGCTGCCAAGAAGAAGTGATGATATTTGTTTTCACCAGCTGTTTGTATCTGCGGGGGGAAATAATGTGTGTCAAAACCTCCTCCAGAGGCTTTTTTAACAGTAATCCCACTTTTTGGGTTGGTGAGGCTATTTTTAACTGTCCAGCTGACATTGACCTCCTGGAACATTGAACATTGACCTCCTATCCAAACTCCTTAGTTGGGATAATGTGTTCAGAAAACTCCCCTTGCACAGTCCTGCCAAGCACCTCTGCCCCCAGCACAATACAGCTCCCTTGAGGTGCTGCTGTTGGAAATGCCCAACAAAATAAATAAAGGAAGCTGGGCTCTGAGCAGCAGGATCACACCAGCCTTGCTCAAGTCAACCTTTGTTTCTGTGAATGTCGTGCCTTTGTTTTTGTCAATGCTGTGTTTGTGAGACGTTGGCTGGGCTGCCCTGGGAATGTGCCACACCACTGCCTTGCTGGGGACCTGAGCTGCAGGCATGGTGCTGAGCAGAAAGAAAGCTGATGAGTAGCTGGGGGTGGCATCTCAGCCACACTCAGATTCACTAACAGCTCACTTTGAGCAGAAACTAATGACTTTATGTAATCTGGGCTCTGTGTATGGCAGTTTGGGTCAGTTGTGAAATGCTTCATCATCAGAGCTTCCCCATTCAGGACCATTCACTGCCACGTGCAGCGGTGCTGGAGTGGGTGCTGGCAGTGTTAGCAAAGGTATGGAGAGCAGAAGGCAGAATGTGCTTGAAATGCGCCAGGGAGATCCAGAAGCCTTGTAGGAAGCTGGCAAATCTGGAAAGAGAAATGAGGGAAAAGCAACTGGAGATGCGTGGGAGAGTAAATGGGATGAGATGTGAGACCCAGGCTGGTAGACAGCTTTGCTTTAGTGGTGCTTTTGCAACCACCAAATGTTGTTAGTTCTGTCTTTTCAAGCAAAACCCTTCAGCCTCCTGGGATGCTGTCTCTCTCAGGACTGAATGAAGCATCTCACGGAGGTTCAAAGGCTGTTCCTTGAGCTTGAGACTGAGCTGTGTGTATGTGAGGAGGGGCAGATGCATTCAGCCTTCACTTTGGACTGAGAATAAGGATTGAGCGTTACACTGTAAGTTGTGCAAGTGTCACAGCTGATTGCTTTTTGTGCCCACTGTGGCTCTGTGTGTGGGCAAGGGCTCTGCGGAGATCGGCGCTTAGTGAAGAGAGTTCTGGATGTGTGCACAGGGTGCTGCTTAGAAGGTTTTATCAGAAAAACCACTGGGAACCTCTGCACTGTGCCTGTCCCTGCCGTAGCTGCTTGGGTTGTGATAAACTTCATGCATTGCTGCTGCTGTTTTCTGGAACCTCGTGTTTTCTTCCCTGATTGCCTGCATGGCTGAAAGCTCCTCCATGTGAGGGCCAGCATTACGTGCCTTTGCCCGTGGAAGGGTGGGCTGAGGACAGTTCTGTGTGCCTTGGCTATGGCAGTGCGGTTGCCAGAGGCCATGTGACGGCTGATCCTAAACATAGGCTTACAATCAAATGCTTGAGGAAGATGTTTCCATCACTCAATTACAATGGAAATCGGGGTTTGCTTGGACTCGGACATCCCTCCTTCCCCCCACCTTGTTATTTGCCCATTCAGAGCCACTATTTGGAAGTTCCAGGGTTAAACTTTCTGGGTTGTGTTTTGTGGGTGTGTGCTTTTTTTTTTTTTAGCTTTATGATGAGCTCCCATTTGGAAGAAGTCATTCAGGTGTTCCCCCATGCAGAGCTGAACAGAAGCGACAGATTTTTCTCCGGGCTGCTAACGATGTGCCCCAGGAAGCAGCGCAGTGGGAGCAGCCCCTGTCCCTCTGTGCCCTGGCAGCCATTCTGCTGCTTTGGGAAGGAGGGTGGGAAGTGCTGTTCCATGGCAGCAGGCAGATCGGTAGCTGCCTCTCTTTTCCTGCAGTCCCTCCTGGGGAAGATTGCCTGTCCTCATGCAGGAAGCCAGCTCTGACTGTTTCAACCACAGGACCAATTAACCCGACCACAGTCCGCTGCAGTTAAACACTTATTTGGAATGTATGTGCTGGGAACAAACGTTGCCCAGGAAAAGATTTTTGTATGCTTTCCTACCCCGCTGCGGTGCTGTCGGCGAATCCAGAGCATCTCTTCCTCTTGCAAAAGAGATGCAACGCGTTGTTCTGCGTGGGAGCTCTGGAGCTGCTCTTACCCGCTCGTAATCACAGCGAGCGCCGAGGCGGTGGGTGGAAGGACGTGAGCTGGCAAATGCTGGAGCCGAGCGTGCCCTCTGCGTCGGCAAAACAAATGAAGCCTGAAGAATAACTCTTTCAGGAGGCCGGAGCAGCATCAGGACTCATTGTTAGTGCTGTGGTGGCAGCTGTCAGCCCGTCCCCAGTGTTGCTGGAAGGCCAAAAGCTCCCTAAATGCTGTCTTCTGTAGGAGAATGCCGGCGCTGTCACCAGCTGCGGTGAGAGGCGCAGCCCCATCTCCGGGTGCCCCCGCTGTCCCTGCCCATGCGGTGCCCTCAGATGTCTGCAGGAGCCACTGCAGATGTGGTCGTCTCCCTCCTCCTCGTGCTCCTCTGGCTCAGAGGTTGGGAGGGGAAGAAATGGCATGATGCTGAATCGGCCTCTCCTGCGTTGTGCAATGAGGGGGAGGCAACGGGAGGGGTGCAGGTGGAGGTGTGTATGTGGAACGTGTCCTGGCAACGTTGGGGCTGTGGGCAGGAGGGGTGCCCTGCTTGTTTTGGATTAGTTGCAGTCTTTAGAAATAGTGTTGCCCCGTCCCATGCTTAGTTTTGATTGTGGGGGCTGTGTGCACACACAAAGCCTGCCTGTTCCTCACCTTCTCCACATGTATGCATGCCATGAGCTCTGGGTTTATACCTGAAACTTGACATTCATATATTCGAGGCAGTGGATGGTTAGGAGAGCTCCATTCAGCAGCTGAAGTGAGAAGAATTCCTAAGTCCAAGGCTTTTCCTCAGTCCTGGCCAGCTCAGGCTTCCTCCCAGAGCCTCACCTCCAGTGTGGGACCTCTGTATGCATAGGTGGATCCAGGCTGGGGGTCAGTGCTCTGAAATGGTGTGACAGCATCCAGAGGGCTGTGGCAGGGAGAACTGCGTGCTTCATCCCCAGTCATCACCTCCAGCCTGCGGGCAGAACGTGGGGTCGGGGCTTTGGAGGCACCGCTGCATTTAGATGTCCAGATTCCTTTGTGAAGCCAGAAAGCATCCGTCTCCCACACACATGAAATTCCAGAGATGTCAAACAGCTGGAGAGAGGTTCCCATGGAGCACCCTGCCTCAGGGCCAGAAATGGAAAGCTGTTCCTCCTGGTGCGGTTTCAAAACCAGATGATGGCAGGAAGCTGCGGGGCTGCAGCCCATGCTGCATTTCTGCTGAGCTCTTTGGGCTTTTTCATCCTCCTGGAGCATGAGGTGCTGTGTTGAGCCCGTGCCACCTCTGCATGACGTGTGCAGGGAAACACGTGGGGAATGTCTGCAGAGCTCTCCCCAGGCAAGGAGCATTCCGGCTGGTTCCTGCTGTAACCAGGGGCAGGATGCAGCCCTTGGCTTCCACGTGGCCTGGAGCTCTACAGGAGGAGATCTGCTGCCTGCAGCGGGCTGCATGGGCATGCCTAGAGCTGGGGGCTGGTGCAAAGGGCTGGAAATCAAACCGCTGTGCACTGGCACCCAGCACTGCCTGGCTGTGCTGTGCTAAGCAGCGTGCATTGCTGCAGGCTCAGAGCTGCTCGGGTCGGAGGGGTGTCTGTGATCCCTTGTCCATACCCTGCTCACAGCGAGCTGCT